AATCAAGCACATTTGTTTAGCAGCAACTGGCTGCTATTTAGGCCTCATTCACACACGAATTGGCCTGCACGTACAGCTCCGTGCTGCGTGCGGGGCCGTAACCAAGTAGCTGCCGGGAAGGACAGGTGCTGCGTTTGATTAGAACGCAGCCCCCGTCCTTCTCTATGGGGCTACGCGGCCGTACGCCCCCCTACACTCACCCTACACTCACCTCATTTGCAGGTCCGTAGGGGTGCGGGTGATCGCATTCATACGCCAGAATGGAACATGTATGCGTCCCGGCCAGAAAACCCGCACCCCTACGGACCTGCAAATGAGGTGAGCGTAGGGGGGCGTACGGCCGCGTAGCCCCATAGAGAAGGACGGGGGCTGCGTTCTAATCACACGCAGCACCTGTCCTTCCCAGCAGCTACTTGGTACGGCCCCGCACGCAGCACGGAGCTGTACGTGCAGGCCGATTCGTGTGTGAATGAGGCCTTAGGTTAATTCCTGTGGAGGCAGCAAGAGTGCACTTACTAACTTCTCCATTTTGGCTTTAGGTTTGTAAAATTAATAATGAAATGGTCTAATATGTCTTTCATCTGAAGGTTGTAATTACCTAATTTAAAACCTGCAAAGGACCAGATGATTTTTTATGATGTCCCAATACTTAAAACTAGGGATGCACCGATACCGGTATTTTGGTACTGAGAATTTTTTTTTTCGGTACTCGCCGATACCAATTACCGAGTACCGGAAGTCCCATTCAGAAAGCCAGGCGGTGTGTAATGACTCGCCACCTGACTTCCTGATTAACCGGGAAGCCAGGCAGCGTGTAAAGACTCTCCACCCGGCTTCCCGATTAACAAGAAAGTCTGTCCCCACTCACCTCGGCATGTCCAGCCTGTTACCCCCGGGGAGCTTCTACAGCCAGGAGCGGCCTTCCTCTGGTACCCAGCCAGAGCCATCTTGCTGGCCAATCATGGAAGCCGTGCAATTAAGTGGCGCCCTGGTATCTGATTGGCCGGCAGGCTGGCCAATCTGGTCGGGAAGCTGGCCAATCAGGAAGCCGTGCAGTGCGTCATTACACTCTGCCTGGCTTCCTGATTGGCTGGGAAGTCAACTCCATGCTCTATCTTCAGAAGTGACGAGATAACATGGAGCCGATTCCCAGCCAATCAGGAAACCGGGCAGTGTGTAATGACTACTGTCTGCACTAGTATCGGTGCATCCCTACTTAAAACCATAGAATTCAAAGAGGGTGTTCTTTCTTTTTCACGTATGTGGGTGTGGGTGTGTATCAACCCATCCCCTACTTAGCTGAAATGTTTTGGGTTTTGTTATTTTTAATTTGGCACAGCTGTGCATGAATTTGCGAATGAAAAAAAACACTGCCACTGCAGCAGAGGGGATTGTAGTTATCAATGGGAGTACAAGTGTGATGATGCTACCGCAGTTGTAGTCCATTAATATCTTTCTCCATAACCAAAGGTCTATACCTCAGTATGGACAGGGGCTTGAGGAAGAGCCTGCAGGAGCACATTTTTTTTCTTTTTGCTAAATGGGATAGTTTATTATTTTTTTCTTTTTGCAAAAATTTGAATATGCCCTAATAAAGTTTTGCAGAATTTCCAGTCTCTTGGTCAACAATCACACACCTTAGTCTCAATTCACAAAATTAAAATGCCAGAATTAATCATCTCATCGGTTCTAGCAGCCCAAGCAGAACATCTAAAGTGGGCTCCTTCTCCTCCCAAACAGCATTTAGCTATTTAAGGGTTTACCACCAGTTAACAATTACAGTTCTCAATTAAAGAAAAAACTCCAGAAATTAAATTTGACCCTTGCATTGGGGCTAGCCCTGCACGGGTTAATTGCTCAGTCTTCTCTAGGGGCCGGAATACAGAAGATATGGGCACCTTATCTTCATTCCTGTGGTGGTCAGCACTCACTTCTCTGCCCCTATGCTCCCGCTTTGGCACGTCCCTCAGCATCCTCACGTCTAATGCAGACGTGACGGTTAGTGTTGGTAACTTAACAGTTCCCTAAACCACCAGAGCCCAAGGGAGAGGGGGCTGCAGGGACTGGTCTAGCAGCCAGGTGGAATCAAGGATCAGGCGAGTATATGTTCTTTAATCCAGCCCCTAGACCAAAATAAGCAGATACTATGTTAATTTCTGGAGTTCTTTAAGTTTCTGCAGACTGACAAATTCTGTCTAAATTTCCAAATGTGCTGTATTGAGAAAAAAAAAAAAAAAACACACCATACGTGTGTACAAGCTAGAGCTAGTTGTATGGCAGAAACAAAAAAGCCGCCACTCCTGCTATGGACAGTCTTTAGAATAATTCCTCCACAACCATGATTGGGACACTTGATGGCTGCCAGCTGGGTCTGGACAGTAAAACAGAGAATCTCTTTACAATATACTGTAATTCCTAAAGTGAATAATATCCTAATGTATGTTTTTGTTAGGTATAGTATTAAATTACACAATACCCTGCACACTTTATTTTGAGTAGCACTGACATCTAGTGGTCTGAACGACACGATACATACTACAAAGGCAATATTTTTAACAGCTGGTGAAAAACCTGCATTTTATATTTGATCTATTTTAACAGTTTTTTGCCTCTGGTTTTTCGACAACTTGAAATTACAAAGTTACAAAATGTTTAAAACATGTAAAACAAGTTAACCTGTTTTTAACTTGGTTTACAAGCTCCCTGGAGACTGTGCTCTTCCTTGTGAGCTTGTACTGGAGAGGAAGTTCAGTCAAGCCGAGCTAAGATAACTGGAGCCAGTTATTCGGAAACATGATGACTAAGTACTCGGGCAAAAATCTAAAGAAACGATTTGCTGGGCAATGTATGCGTTTAATCTGGATTAATGATTTAAAAAAAGTGCAAGAGTTTAATACTACTTTAAGTTGGCTACACTGCTTTACCAACACGAAACTTCTGAGAAAAATGACTCTTCTGAGTAAATGAATATATGTCATCAGCAGCTGACAAGGCGCTAATCACAGCCATTAAAAATCTGGTCATCTTCCTTTTCACTCATAACTGAGTTCTCTTCAGTTTGTGAATGAACAGGAAGAGCTCTGTTCAGAGCACTTCCTATTCAGTATTAGTGAGTACTGGAGTTGCATAGAAAAAGAAGATTCGGAACTCAATCTCTTTCTCCATCTCCAAAATTGAGATTTTAGGGATCTGTTTTAAAGCCCCCTGAAATTACTGTTAAAAAAAGTTAAAATAAAAATGAAATAGAACCCCCACCTCACACACGCGCACAACCAATGGGCGGGCATTATGGTGCAAATAACGCAAGCATGTTAAACATTCATTGAACTATAAGCATTGAAGTGCTTTGCAAAGCATTTTAACATGCTGCTTTGTAATAAAATGCATACCTGCATTATTTTATCGCAACACAACGTACACCAAAGAAGCACAAACGCAGCACTTCTGATCAGGCCAACCTTCAGACTTTTTAGCATAAGTTGCTTGTTTATAGTTTTGCGTACCATCAATTTTTACCCTTTTGCGAAAAAGCTAAAAATTGTATATTTAGAAATACTTGTTATTAACTCAATAGTTTTATCTTTAAGATTTAGGGGGAAATTTGGAAGTTATGTTTTTGTGTGCGCTTATGATGTAGTATATCTTTGCTAGAAATATTGTTTTGATAAACGTTTGTGCAACTATCACTGGTTCCTTAAAGTCAGTAGCACCAGATTTTTATACTATTGGCCCTGTGCTATCAGAAAACAAAATGATTTGGATTGGGGGTCGGTCTTTTAGAAAATCTGAAAGATGCAAGTGAAAAGGTATAAAGTTAATATTTGCAAAAATGGTCCAGGGACATTAGGTTGAAAAGTGGAGAGCAGGGCCTGGCAGTAAAAGGATTACATAGGTGTTGTAATACAAACCCTATAGGAGAACCTGCATAATTATATGGCTTTATAAACCTATTTCCTACAATTGTCACACAGATTAAATCATCTGATCTTAACAGCTCATCGGGTTACATGCCGAGTGACTACAGTCATGTGTAAACACATTTATAAAACGATTGGTAAAACTTGTTATCTATTCCAATAAAAACATGCAGCAAGCTATATGGTATGATTCTAGCAGCAAACAGATGAAATCAGAAATACTTTAAGAATAGAGAGCTAGCATAAAATTAGACAGCTTTCAGGAAGCAAGCTGATAAAAGTTAAAAGGAGATCTATGAGGTGAGTGCTTTTCACTCACCTCATAGTTCTAGCCAACCTGTGACAATGAGACTGTCACAGGTCAGCTCAGTAGATCGGGAGGTGAGCGAACACATACCGGCGTTCGCTCGCCTCTCGATCCTGTCACGGCTCTCTGCCGTGACAGGGGAGGGGCTGGATTCCCCCCTCCCCGCTCCGCCAGCGCTGACTGGCGGAACGTACGGGGGAGATAGCGGAACAGCTGGCTCTGCCTTTAGATAGGCAGAGCCAGCTGTCAGTCACGCAGCTGGGCGGATGCTGGCACAATTGTCGGGATCCGCTTCAGCCGCGGCGTCTCAGTATACCGCGAACTACAGCTCGCGGTATACAGAGCCTAGGGTGACGGGAGGACACTAGTTTGTGTCCTCCCGTTACCCTAAGGAGAACTATGGGGAAAAGACTTAACCCCATAGTTCTCCTTTAAGTACTCAACAAGAATTAAATATCCACTTACTAAACCAAGGAAGATTAATGTGTCTTTGCAAAACACAAGCGAGTAATTAGTGGTTTGCATTCTCCAAGTATGAATCAATATGTACTCTATGCATGATATAGTCACAGTAAAGTTGAATTTAACAATGGCTAAGATGGATTTACAGATTACATAAAGAAATGTGCATTGCTTTTATAAAGAAACTTGGTAAGCTGCCAACAATTATCAGTAAGAGAACTTAGCAGATAACACTTCTCTTAGAAATCAGCAGCTTTCCTGTTTTTACAAACAAAAACCAGAGTTAAAGAACACTTATCCAATGATATACTCACAGCTGCTAATACCCAAAAGATGGAGACATACAAATAAGGACTGTGTAGGAGCGCATCGACATGTAACGCAATAACACCGCCAAATACTGCAGACATTCCAACCACCACCTCGACAATCTGAAAAACACACCAAAAAGAGTAAACAAGCCCAAGAAATGTATTTAAAGATTCAACACAGGCAAAGTCTACTACTTACAGAGAAAAACTTCATCATCCTTGCAGGAAACTGCACATGTCTTAGATTTTTTGAGCTACCACAGGTTGTACCCTATAGAGGGAGAGAAATGAGAACAAGACATTTCCAGATATTATGTGAACCAATGAATATGATCTTTATAAGTAGGAAAATATAGACTTGAAATTCCAGTCAACCTTCTGAACAGAGAGGAGCTTCTCTGTATAACAGGACTGACTCCCGAGTGCTCAGTAATCCTGTAACCACGCATACATTTCATTAAATTTTTTATTTTCTCTCAATGGGGCCCGCAATAAAGTGACACGAAACTCAAGAGATACATCTTAAAGATGCATTCAAATACCTTATCAACAAAAATGGATCTAATTTGTGTGTCACTCGGCTGTAGATCCTCAAATCATCTCTGAATTGGTGCTGACACTGTCCTTCCTTCTGGAGGGTGGCTACTTATTCCCCTACTGTGCGTGTTGTAAAGCAGCCATGGTTCCAAGCTCACTCCAATGATGGACTACAATCTTACATTTAGTTTACTAATTTGTATTGAGATTGTAGTCCATCACAGGAGTGAGCTTGGAGTGATGGCTACTTAACAATACACAGGGACCATGGGGAACAAAAGTAGCTACCCTCCAGAAGGAAGTACCGTGTAGCAAAAATTCAGAGATGATTTGAGAATCTACAGCTTAGTGATACACAAATAAGATATATTTGTTAATAGTTAAGGTACCTGAATGCATTTTTAACCACTTCCAGGCCAGCCGTAGTAAAAAAACGGCCGGCCCGGAGCTCTCTAGATCTGAGCAGGCGTCTTTAGCGCGCGAGCGGGAAACAGCCGAAATTTAAAAACAGGCAGTGGTGCCTTTGTACTGCAGCGCTGAATACTGAAAAATGGCCTGGCCAGGAAGGGGGTCTAAACACCTGGTCTTCAAGTGGTTAAGATTTAATTCCTGAGTTTAGTGTCACTTTAGCATAGTACACTATACAAGAGTTTAGTATGTAGTCTTAAGTAACCAGCGAAGGCAGGGTTCATTCACACACTAATCATCGGTGGTTGTAAAAACTAGTGTTTTTTGGAGCTAGCCTATCATTCCTTGGCAAAAAGGCTTCAACAAAAGCCACGCATTACTTGTTTAATATTTTTTTATGACACACTTACAAACATCTTACTATTAATAATGTTTATTAATATATTAGTGGATATAAATGCGTTTCTCTGCGGAAATGTAAATAAGAAATCTATTTAGACAGCTAAGATTCCAAATATTCATCAAATGTTTGAAAGTGTCAAAGTAATACTACTCCATCATTGGGAGATAAATGTTAACAGCACAAAATAAATGTCAACAGGGAAATAAAAATGTCTTATTGCAAAAGAAGTTCTGTCAATTTTATTAAAAGAACTGATGAACACTGCACAAAATAACAGAGGAAAAACAAAAATGGTCATTACTCACTCTTTTCTCAGGGCAGCAGTCCACCCGTGACCTTGCAGAAATTATCACTGTAGTTGCCATCAAAATTTCCATCAAAATGAGGAGCATCAAGTTGAAATTTATCTAGGGGAAATTATATTTTTTTTAAACCAGAGGTGATTAAAAATTAGTTCTAATTTGATGTTTAGGCACCGTCCAAAAAAACAAACAAATCCTACTTGCTACATTTTTGGTGCAGTTTCTAGTACGCATATCCCCCCCATAGGAATGAAGGTACTGCATGTCAAAATGCATGACAAATCCAACAAATAAAGAATGTGGAATAGGCCTCTAGGAAGAGCTGATCATTTATATAAAATCAGATCGCCCGGAGCCAGGGTAAAATAGAATTGATTCTTAATTTCAAGGAATCTCAGAGGCCAGCAACTGTGGAACTGTAGTTTGATTTGTAATTGCTCTTGAATAGAAACTTAATTCACAAAGAAACTGTTTTAGCCTGACATATTCAGCAGTGACCATATACTGTTCTGCTTTTGGAATGTTTCCAAACTTGGATGTTTACAGTGCAGTCACAGACTGATGGTTTCTGACCACCACAAATGGGAGACCTAGCTGTTCTTTGTAGGCTCAATGGCCTGCAGTGGTGGTTGCAGGTCATTAGTTACGCTGAATATTGGAATGATGCTGAAAATGCTTTATTTGTAACCAAACATCTGTATCTAAAATAAGTAAATATGTTTTATTAGTTATATTTGTGTGTGTTTGTCATTATTTGCATTATAAAAAGGAGGCTTAAAGTGACACGAAATCCAGGAGTTAAATTTCAAAAAATCATTCAAGTACCTTAACTATTAATAAAAATGTATCTTATTTGTGTATTACTCAGCTGTAGATCCTCAAATTATCTCTGAATTGGTGCCGACGTTGTCTGTCCTTCTGGAGAGTGGCTACTTTTATTCCCTATAGTGTGTGTGTGTGTTGTAAAGTATTTCACCGCTACAAGCTCACTTCTGTGATGGACTACAAGCTCAATACAAATTAGTAAACTAAATGTGAGATTGTAGTCCAACAGGGGAGTGAGCTTGGATCGGTGACTACTTTACAACACAGTAATAGCAAAAAGTTTCCCAGCACACTCACCAGCCAGCATGCAAAAAAAACTTGTCTCACCGCTAAGGTTAAACAGAGGTTTAGATACACGTCTTCTGCAGAAAATGTGACAGCCGCGCCAAGGCACCTCCATATAGTGCGGTCCTAACTCTAAACTGAGTTTCCATCTTGGTGCACATGTGACAAAAGATCAAATTGGGTGCAGGTTTGTCCTTAGCGGTAAGACAAGTTTGTTTTTGCATGCTGGCTAGTGAGTGTGCTGGGAAATTTTTTGCTAATTGATAAGTGCGTTTGCCATTTGTTTTACTTTCACACACACTATGGGGAATAAAAGTAGCCACCCTCCAGAAGGAAGGACAGTGTCAGCACAAATTCAGAGATGATTTGAGGATCTACAGCTGAGTGATACACAAATAAGATACATTTTTGCTAATAGTTAAAAGGTACGTGAATGCATTTTTGAGATTGTAATCCTGAGTTTAGTGTCACCTTAAATTAATCTGTTCGGATTATCTGTTTTATGTTGGGTTCAACGACAATACACCTAACGTCCCACCAAGTGACAGCCCTAAGTATTTATGAGAAAACAAACACCTGCAACAACCAAAATAATGAGGAAGAAAACTCAAATGGACACAGAGTCCCGTTTGCAAGGCCTGAATCCCCTGCTCTGCCTGTAACTGGCATACACAGAGCCGCTCTTCCATATTTATAAACATACCACAGTTAGTGGTATCTGTTCAGTCTTGCATAGACACTGAACCACTATTCACATGAAAGTCAAATCAAAGACACACTGAACCCTGTTCACATCGCAGTTAAATCATAGACTAGGAGAGTTTTCTTTTCCTGTGACAGATAAATACTAAACTCTGACTCAGTGGGGTTGATTTACTAACCTTATAAACACACCACGAACAAGTATACACCTCTGTAGTGTGTTCCCTCCCAGCATGATCTATGGGTGGAATCTAGACACCTTTGTAGTGTGTACACACCCAGCAGGTGTGTTGTGCAAAGCCCTGCATGAATTGCAAGGTGATGTTGTGTAAATTAGCTCTACGTTGTGTTGCTTGCGTTGATGAATGCAGGAAATGTAAATGCATGAGCATTTTTGTCTAAACTGTGATGCACTCATGTTTTTGGGACTTTATTTAGGTAGTGCAAAAAATAATGAAAGTCTCTCCATAAGTGGAATGAGGAACACTTAAAAACTGTCAAGAGGAAATAAGCTTTCAAAAACAAACACCTCTGGACAGTACAGAATGGTTGGAATAGTAGTTGTGCGCGAACATGCTGCTATTCAATTTACCAAGAAATTGCCTCCACACACGTGCAGTTGGCTCATACAGAGCTGAACATGTCAGTGGTGTGTAAGTTCCATATTTTTGAATACTGTTTTTAGCATTTTCAAAGTGTTTTTTGGGATGGTTGTAGGCATAGAGGTGAAGCAGCATTATATATGCATCATGTGCATGATTTTTCCATATATGGCATTAGTGGAAATATGCTTTTAGAGACTTGCATGGCGCTATTAGAGCGGCGTGTAGCCTATGGCGCATGCTGCATGATGCGCACGTACGTAAATACATAAAAATGCGCCATAACGGCGTGAAAATGTGACACGTTGCTCGTGTTTGGTTGATAAATACGTTTTGCTGTGTAAAAATGCACATGCACCTGGTGTGTTTAGGTTAGTAAATCCCCCCCAGTATGTCATATACATTAAAGTCTATGAGTACATACAGTACCTGGACCAAACAAAAGAATGAGTTGCTGTTCACAAGTCACATATATCAAATGCCTGAAGTACCTGATTCACGAATGACAACTAATGCCTAACCACTGCTTAACATGTCAACTATACCAAAGCCAAGAAACAGGTCTGTCTCAGCAGGAAAGACACTTGGTCACTACCCACGTATCAAAGGCCAAAAATGCATGCTTTGACTACGGTAAGCATAAACTGAGCCACTGCTCAATGACCAACATATGAAAATGTAAGTGCACCTACTCCATCTTGTCCAGGCAGTGAGCCAATGCTCACATGTTAATCCTGTACAAATGTGTTTTTTTAACTTTTAACTATTTGGGGCACAGACCCATGGCGCCACTGCTGTGGGTTTTATGCATTTAAATTGCACCTTTTCCAGTTTCTTTCAGAAAACGTTTTCCCATCTCTTCTCTTAATTTGTAAGTGGCATTGCAAGTGCTTTTGTTTAAATCTAAGTGGTCTAAATCTATGTTTACACTATTGAGTGGTAGAATTTTCTTTCCCGGGGGTATGAGGAAATGTTAAGCAGTGTTTGAAAACGTTCTTAGGCAAGAAGTGCAGTTGGTGGCATATATACAAAGATAGAGAGAGAGGAAGGAGAGTTTGGGAGAAGTTGGCATCCATATATGCTACAAGGAGGAGTGATTATGAGGAGCGGTATTTGACCATCTCATACATGGTCCACTATTTCTGCTGAGTGCGATATCCAGCACACAGGGTTTTGGAGCAGAGTGGAGTATCACTAGAAGCACAGTTGCTGTTGCTCAGAAAATTCAAAAATGGCTTGGCCAGCTGATTTGAAAAATGTTCCGTAGGGCTTGGCAGCGAAAGGGTTAAAAGCACACAGTGGACTTTATTCACATGTTGGGCACTTTTTTGTCACTTAGTATTTTTTCTACAGTTTATGTTGATCGAGTTTGTGATTGGAGATTATTATATAGCACACTTTCACCTAGGGTTTTTTTTTTCCACTTTGTTGCGTGCACTGTGTTGGGTTTGTGATATATGAATTAGAAGTGTTTATTCGCTTTTTACACTGTTGACACTACATATAGATTTAGAGGTGGGTTAGGGAATAGGTAGAAACGTGGATTGCTGCAGGATATTTATAATATAGGATTGCTGAAATTCAAGCTACTGGTGTCGGGGGGTTTGGGTTGGAAGATGACCCCCTTCACCACCATCATGTGTGGTCTCTAACAGGAGTTTACTTTATTCCAAGCCCAAGAACTCGGTCAATATTTCTTGCAAGTACATAGAATAATTTAAAGTAATTTAACCTTAATGAGACTCACATGCTGAAAACAAGTCTGCTACTTACATTAATTGCTGTTGGATTAATTGCAAGCTTGCAGCCATACCATATTAGGCATGTAGTAGTAATAGAAAATGTTGATACATGCAATATCTGAAAATGAGAGACCTGAAAAGATATGCAAACAATGTGTGAAATTACAATTGTAAAACAGAGGTACACAGAATCTGCTGTAAGCTAAATTAGAGAAAGGCATACACAGGGAATTTTCTTATTTGCAGCCTGAGATCATCATCAGCTGACTTCCAAGTGTCTTCTTATAGCTACTTTGTGAATAAACTGTTAAAGGCAATACATGCTACTATATTAGGCCAGTTGCCTAGTATATGTACAAATATCTAGCTGGGGGGAGCTGATAGCACCGATTATGTTGAAAGTGATGCTGTACTTAAAATAAACCTGTTTTTTTGTAAAATATGATTTATTCCAATTATATATTTCCACCAGTTTAAGGAAAACTATTTGAGAGTAAAAGGTACTCTTCCCAATGATTTAAGCTCTATAGCTCGAGAACTAAGCGATCACAAACCGCTGATTGCTCAGCTCGCAGCTTCTCCATGCAGAGAGCAATTAATGTCAGCCAGCTTTCCCTGCAGTGATTCCCCCCTCCCCTCTCTCCACTCCTCTAGCGCTGACTGGGAGAGACAGACGGGAGAGGGGGTGGGCACAGCTGACTCTTCCTTTAGAGAAGCAGAGCCAGCGGGATGAGTCAATCAGGCAGCGGGATGGATCCCAACTAGGGATGCACCGACACAAGCATCGGTATCGGCCGCGATACCGAGTATTTGCATGAGTACTCGTACAAATACTCCAATACATAAAACAAGCTCATGTCCAGAACAGTGTATTATTGTATAGTGTGGCACAGCTGTATCCAATTCTGCATACCTGGCTTTATATTATAAAGTTCTTATAATATAAAGCCAGGTATGCAGAATTGGATATAGCTGTGCCACACTACAGAGTGTTCATGTTCTTCATAATATTAAGAAACTGACCTAAAATCATGATTTTGTATTGCTTTAGAAAAAATTTGACCTGTCCCTTTAAGAAAAAGTATCGGTAATTGGTATCGGCGAGTACTTGAAAAAAGTATCGGTACTCGTACTCGGCCTTAAAAAAGTGGTATCGTTGCATCCCTAATCCCAACAATATTGTCAGAATCCTTCTCGGCTGTAGCGTGCTTCTACACGGTCAGCAAATAGCAGGCTACTGCAGAAGTGCAGGATCCATCAACAGATCTTCTACCTCATGCTAGTACCCACACAACAACTATAGAAGCTAGAAAAACCACACAAGCAATAATCACTATGTTTTCATGTTAAAACTAACTAGCTTGGTTAGTATAACTGACCAAAATAAACTAGAATAATCTAGAATAAAATAATTTTCTACTGCATTGGTGCTTAGGCCATTGCTAATTGGGTTGAACTTTAAAAATGTATAATTTATTATTAAAAAGAACTTACCACATTCTCCTTGTTTTTCAACACTGCAAAACTTACAACAGCGGAAGGTATACACTGAAAACAAAATAAACCGTTAGGACAGCATTTTAAAACAATATTATGAAATAATATAGACACAAATTTTCTATCATAAAAGGCTCAATGGCTCTGTTTACCTGTCTTACAAAAATGTAGGGTGCAGCATGTTCGACTAAATTCCCAGCCCTCGCTTACCTGACCTACCTTACCTAATCATGGACTTCTTCTTGCAGGCTCCTGTATGCATTTGAATTCGGGATGACTGTGCGTGGCTGTGCCTGGACAACCTCAATTAATTCACATGATCTGTGAATGAAAAAGACTACAAAAGTTCCATCTGCCACCGCAGCAGAGGGACTCATATTTCAATGGAGTACAAGTGCATGCATATTGCACTTGTAGTCCACCGATCACTTCCTCCAGCACCATAAGAGAAGGTTGTTACTGAGGTACTGAGGCTGGGAATATAGTCTACAGAAGCCTGGGCACTGCACACGCGATCCACTGAGCACAGATGCAGTGCTTTGCAGGCTCCAATACAAAAATGTATGAATGCAGTGTGGGTTCACTCACTTTTTTACAAAAGGTGGACTGTGCCTTTAAAGCAAACCTCAAGCCAAACAGCTAAATACCTGTCAAAAATGTTGTAACCCTGTTCCGTTAGGCCAGGGGTAGGCAACCTCAGCACGCCAGCTGTGATGAAACTTCAAATCCTATCATGTCTCTGGGAGTCATGGCTGTCAGTCTCACAATGCATCACGGGACTTCCACAACAGCTGGAGTGTCGAGGTTGCCTACTGCTGCATTAGGCTATGTTTGTCTCCCGAGGGTGCTGGATGCTGAATTAGCACATGCAGTGCCCCTACTCAGCCTGTGCTGCACCTCTGCTTAAAATGCTCTCATCAGTGGAATGGATCTAAGTACAAACATTGCCTTCCCTGGTAAACACATTGGGGGGAATTTATCAAAGCAATGGCGACAATTTTAGCCTCTTAGATCATTTTTTTTAATGTGCAAATCTGTCTTTTAACATATGCCCCTGTTTTCACCTGAGCTTGCACCACTTTTCCAACTGCACATTATTTCCACCTGTTTTGACCAGAGCTTGCACTACTTTTTCAACTACACGTTTTTTGCACATGTTTTCATCTGCACTTGTTCTGGGGCTGTATGAAACTGGAGCATCACCTAAGTAAACAATCACAACTTAAGAAGTCCCCATGACCACTTCTTCAAGAAGCGACAGTTACGTTTTTTTCCTGAAGTTACAAGTATTCTTTCCTGGAGTCTATTAAACCTGCAAATATATTCCATGCAAGTTCAAACACTTGCAATTGCTATGATAAATGCACTTCAGCACAGGCAATTCAATAATTCCAGGCAAAAGTAAAACCAATCCCCAAACTACTAATGCTAAAAACACTGCTACTGTGCTAACATCAGAGCAAGTCCACGGTATCCTAAAGAGACTATCGCTTTAAGAAAAAAATTGATGCTCACTCCTGCATTCATATTGACAATAGGGCAGGTAAACCTCATCACTACTAGAAAAAGTGCCAGATGTTTGCCAGTTAAGAACAGTCCAGCATTCACTCAATTTTGTGCTGAAATTTTGATATAACAGGCTTTGTTTTGTTGGAGATGGCAAGGAGTCTCCAATGGTGTATTTTGAGATTCTTCTTACACATAACAAAACACATAAGCAATGGGCAGGACTGGTGTACTACACCTATGGCTGGGCTAAAAAAAAAGTTCAATACTCTACTGGTTGCCATTGTGTGAATTTTGTTAGATCATCCACTGCCGGACAGAATTTTACTGAGGTTGATTTACTAAAGGAACAAAGCCTGCCTGCTTAGCAAAGTGAATGCTCAATGACCTTCGTGAATAATATAAAGTTGTGTTCACATTAATTAACCAAACATGTGCTAGCATGTGCTGTTTTATTAAGCCACTCTGTGACTTGTTGACTCATCCCGCTGGCTCTGCTTCTGTAAAAAAAAAATCAAATAGAAGCACCTTGCAAAAGAAAATTCTTAATACTTACCTCTGAAAACAGCGAGTCCAGACTTTGAACCAATAAAGAGCAAAAGCCTTAGGCCAAATTTTCACATCCATTACCCTTTCGTGTATGTCAATGCCTGGTCCACCGCTGTGAGCTATGGTTCTTTCCACCAGCCAATGTCTTGTAAAGATCTAGGGGCAGTAGGAGGATCAAAAGCTTGCGGCGAGGGACGCAGGTATCTGACACTCCAGATACGCTTGCGGTATACTGAGACCGTCGCAGCCGGGACGGATCCCGACATTACTGAGATCCACCCAGCTGCGTGACAGCGGGCTCTGCCTATCTAGAGGCAGAGACAGCTGTGCCTGCCCCCTCTCCCGTCCGGGAGCCGTGAGTGACAGACACAGCTCTCTGCAGGGACATGATCGGGTAGTGAGCGAGCAACAGTATGCGTTCGCTCACTTCCAAAACTATTGAGCCGACGTGTGACTGTCACACGCCGGCTCGAACTATGAGGATGAGTGAAAATCACTTGCCTCATAGTTCTCCTTTAATACAATATTACACAGGTACATCTGGTAGAGCAGTGGGCTGATGACAACCGGGACACGAGCATAATAAGTACTTCTAAAAAACAAGCAGACAATTGTATCATTTCCGTTATTCCTCTAAAATGTACCAATCCAATTCTTCAATGCAAAATAATATCAGCTGATAGTAAATAATACTGTGAATGCTTACAGATCCTGCAGCACACCTCAAATAGTCCATTTCAGAAGGGAACACATTTCCTAAGTAAAGTGAAAACCCAGACGTTGCAAGAAGACAACTCTGAAATAATCCCACCGCCTTGAAGAGCATAGGTAGTGACTCCAAGAGTTGTGCTCTCGGGGTACCCGCCAGCAGATGCGTTCTAAATTGCGAGAGCCAAAACTCCATGTTTCTGGCCACGCACGTGGTAGCCAGAGCCGGTCTAAGGTTCATCGAAGAAGAGTCCCACGCCCTTTTTAAAAGAACCTCAATCTTCTTATCCATGGTGTCTCTCAAAACCCCCATGTCCTCGAAGGCTAAGTCAGATTTCTTGGATACCTTTGCTAATAGAGCATCCGGTTGAGGAGATTTATTCCACACCAAGGCTGGATCCTCATCAAAAGGAAACCTCCTCTTGAGGTTCCCTGACTTCAGAGGCTTTCTCTCAGGCTCAGCCCATTCTTTGAGAATAGTCTCTGATAAGACCCTAATTAAGTGACGTGTTTCCTGTGTGTGGGGGAGGAGATTCCATCTCGTGATGCTGTCCTGGAAGACGTTATGGGAAATAAAAAGTTCACAAACTGAAAATATCAACAGATATTGATATTGAGTGAATGGGAGCAAGTGGGATTATTTGCCTATTAAGTTTACTTAGAAATAAATAACACTAATAATAAAGGCTAGAGCTGGCCATACATTGCTCAAAATTTGACCGGTCTGTGTCCCTGTTAGAACCTCCCTGTTCAACAAAAGTCATTTTTATCAACTTTTGTTGAAGGAGCTGGTCCGAACATTCTCGGACAAACAGTAACTGCAGCCATTCAGGTGCAGTCAGTGTTCGTTTATTCAGATAATCATGGAATACAATAGCCTGGTGGGAAGGGGGAGTGGGGTTCCACTATCCACGGTGTTTAGCATAGATGGGGGTATCAAGTGTTTTTTCTCACTCCATGTTTTTGAACAAGAAGTGTATGGGCAGCTTAGGGTGACAATGGCAAGTAAGCCATTGGTGCATGTGAAATCATAGGACTAGGTTGCCCAATGCTGCTGATGTGAATGAGCCCTAAATATCTTTGCCATCGAGAGACAGTGTATTGGACATGAGGACGCAGAGGAACATTTCATCGCCGGAGCAGATGGGGGAGAGAGGCTGCAGGGACCAATCCATGAGCCAGCTAGGTCTGAGATTCAGGTATTTTGGGTAATCCTACCGCAAGGGTTAGGTTTTCTTCATCCCAGAGTTCTTAATTAATGGGAATAACTGCACAGCAGCTCAAATGGCTACTACAACATCCATTGGCTACAACAGACCCGGTACAAAAGCCCTACCTTGTTCTCACAGGCAGATGACTTATGATCACTGTGTACTTATGGTCACTGTATACTACTGCCTCCCCTTCCAGTATAAGTAAATGTAACTGCTAAAAGCTAAAGCATGACTGCTTTTTTAAATCATTATTTACTGCACAACTTAAGTCCTCCAAATTCAATTAGAAGCTGATTACAAAATATTAACCAACTAGGTGATACATGTTAAAAATATTGTTTTGCAATATGTAAGCAATTCAAAAGTTACATATATGCTTTTTGAAGTCATAGACAGCACATACAAAACATTGTCATTTTAATACCTACCCCAATCAGAAGAGAAAACATCCAGGTTTTGTACTTAACACATGGATGTAACTTGTTAGGCAATTTCAGATCTGCATGGTACTTCTTATTCTCTTGTATTCCTTGTTCCAAAGTAGTCATCCTGTCATAACTATATTCTTCATTGTATCCATCTTCTCTAATCATACCGATCTAAAGAAAAGTACAAAGATGCCTAGAACTTGACGGCATTTTCAACATCAGGACTCCATATGTGATATCTAGGGACCTTAGGATTTACAGATGTAATTAAATAAATTTCTTTTAAATCCCTAGATCCAGACAAACTGCATCTCATACTCCTAGTGCATAAAAAAGGTTACAAACTCTGCAAGATATCATATACTATATATTAAAATGCAGAAAAAAAATATTTAATGCAACACAAGGAAACAAACTTGCGTGCAGATGCCAATGAGTGAAGCTAAGTTTGGCTTACCAACAGTGACCTACTTTGTACAACTGAAAGACAAAAAATAGAAAGAAAAACCCCAAAACATCTAAAACTTTGGTGTGAAACAAAAGCGGAACTAGTCACAGGTTTATCTTGAAGGTATAAACATTCCAGTACATACCTATATTTAGATGAGTATTAAAAAGAGCGTGCAGGGCGTTATACGCAGCTTGGATAAACTCTGCTCAGTGAATCATGGTATATTTGAAATGTTTGCTCTCAAGCTCTGCTGTGAAGCAACATCTATTCACATTTGGGACAAAAGCAGAGAAAAAAAACTTGTACTTAAGCCAGGGAACACAAGTGCCTCTTGAATTTTAATGAAGAGAAAAGACTGGAAGAGCCCTGAGTATTGCTATGATCGTATGGGAAAACTGTACAGTGATAAACAAAATCCTAAAGAGTGATTGTTCCATATAGACCTGATTTAGATTTGTGATCATGTAAATCTTTGTAAGCTACAACACAATGTTTTATTTCTGTATTAATGCATTTTATATAGTGTTTCTGTGACATTATTAAATATCCTGCACTTTGTCTTTCCTGATTTACTGTAGAGGTGCAGGTTACATCAGACCCTTTCTCGAAAATGCTCCACAGGGTCAACAGAACTAATACACAGATACCAAGAGCCTCTCCTATCCTCTGGGACTCCCTACCCCTACCTACAGATATCTCCTATTCTGTCCACCTTAAAGAATAAGTATGGGGAGAGTAAAATGTACTCTTCCCAATACTTGGAGGCGACATGTGACACTGTAGGTGTCACGTGCTGGCTCTATAGATCGAGAGCTAGGCGCTCAGAAACCTGCTGATTGCTCAGCTAACGGTCTTCTTCCTGCAGAGAGTAGTGGCTGTCAGTCACCACTCCCTGCAGGGATCCCCCCCCTTCCTCTCTTGTAGGGACAGACAGGGATAGGGTGGGCATAGTTGGCTCTGGCTCTAGAGAGGGATTGCCAGCTGTCAATCAGGCAGCAGGTCAGATCCCAACAATCTTTCCTGGCTCTTCATCTACTTTCTCCATCAGCTTATTCCTTACTTTTTGTATCACTTGCCCTTCCCTGTTAGATTCTACACTTTCACAAGCAGAGTCCCCCCTAACCCTCTTTTTTGCATTGTATTGTTTCATTTGTAAAGCCCTGAGCAAACTGTTACTGCCATATAAATCCTGCACAAACATATTACTAAAAGAACAAGAAATTGGAAAGTGTAACCCTAAATCAGCACACTTGTCCTGGGTTAGTGACTCAGAAAGCAATGAAGCCATTGAGTTTGGTTTACTAAAGGCAAATAGGCTGTTCAGTTTGCAAGGGAATGTCCCTTTAGCTTAGTGAATGAGGTGAAGCTCTGCATACTTCAGTCATGTAATCCAATAGAAACAGCAAACTGAATTTTCACTACATTCAGTGTCTTTAACTCTTTTGCTTTTAGAGCCGTTTATGCACACGTTAAAATGCACATTTTAGGCCTGAAAATTTGTCATAATATAATACCCAGTTTGTTGGTAAAATAAAAAATGAGGATGAGTTGAGTGCCACAATACTGTGCGTTGTGGTGTGATTAAAAAAAAGTAGTACATGCATGATCAATCGCCCTGCAGACGGGAGGTGCATTGGGGGTGTCATTTAAATTAATGGCAACATACCTTCTGCACTATTAAGGCACGGTAGGTGTGTTGTGCAGTGTGCTAATTGCACCACTGTAAATGGGGCCTTATGGGAAAAAAAAAGTTTGTCTGTGCCTATGTGAGAAAACAAGAATTGCACCATACATGTTGGGTATCGCTGCACGCGCTGGAGTGAGAGCAATAAGTCGCACGCGCTGGAGTGAGAGCAATAAGTCCAGGGCCTTTATTAATTGCCCTAACTCAAGTGCTCGCAGCGATACCAAACATGTATGATGCAATCTTGTTTTCGCACATAGGCGCACCCAAACTTTGTTTTGTAAAACAGTAGAAAGGCATCATGGCACACTCACAAACCAGCATGTAAAACAACTTGTCTCACCACTAAGGATAATAACAGAGGTTTGGATACACGTCTTCTGCAGAGGATGTGAAAGCCGCACTACCGCGCCAAGGCACCTCTTATAGTGCGGTCCTAACTCTAAACTATGAGAGTCTCCATCTTGGAGCACATGGGGGCAGAAGATTTCAAATTGGGTGCAGGTTTGTCAGGAGGAAGCCCAGCCTCCTTAAAAGCACAGAAACACACAAGGGATCCCGCACATCCCAATGGCTATGTGATAGCACATTGAAGGCAACAGGTTCTCTTCAAGGAGACATTAGGGGTCTATGAGACCCTTATGGTCATCTTTGCAATCCAATGACCTTGTGCTTGATCAGTTTCATCTCCAGCCACACACCTGGGGAATGGTGAAACCCTTTTAGTTTCCAGGGTTATTGGGGTGATCAGCGACGGATGCTTGCTGGTCTCCCTCCTCTCTTTCAGCCCACATCTGCCAAGCTGGTCCTGGGCTCGCAGGAGGGCCAGCAGAACCCAGGATGCATGTCGGGGGGCGGGCTTGGCCCATGGAAGCGATCTGGGGAAATCAATTCCAGTGCAAAGTATAAAGCGCACTTCTATCCACAGCCCACCTTATTGAAACACTGGGTTCTTCTCTCTGCAGCATTTTTTTTTTTTTAATTTGGTGCGGCTGTTCGTGGATCCAACCACATAGCCGCGTTATTCAGAGCCCAGCATGTAGAAAGTGACATTAGAACTCCTTACCTACAGGCTTGTTTTGAGACTGACTCATCATGACAGCCAGGCAACTAGCATTTTCGGGGGTCAGCAAGGTTTTTCCCAATAATAAAATATAAAGTGTTATACGTTTAAACTGTGTGTTCAACTAACAATTTTGTTTGGAGAAGGTGAGAACCCGTGGCAGCTTTTTACTGCTATCCTGGTCACATTAGAGATATTTCCCCTGACTTACTGTCCAGCAGACAATAGTTTCACCAGACGGGAAGTGAGGGGAAAGTCTGCAACAAGGACACAGACAACAAAACCCTACCGAGAATAAATACATTTGTCTGTTTCTTTTGGAGATTTTGCCCCACTACTCACTTAATTTAGTGAAACTGTTATCACCATGTCAGTAAGTAAGGTAAAATATTTCTAAGGAGATACCAGATACCAATAAATTGAGACGGGGGTGGTGCTGATCTTTAACAAAAAAAAAAAAAAGGGGGGGGATTTGAATGGACACACATTTTAAAATACAGCAAACTCCCCATTATCTGGCATTCAAGCAACCGGCAAAAATAAACTCGAGGGCATGTCCTTGATTTGTGTTTGCTGGTTGCGTGACAGACATGTGCACAGTAAAAAATGTAGTTAGCAGCTAAGTTTACTTAGTTGCTAAAGGAATTCTGTTTACATATTGCTGGCTGTCCAGCAGCTAGATAGATTCTGCAATCTGGCAGCTGAATGTAAACTGGGAGCAATAGCCAGCCCGCTATTGGCTATTTCAAATTGGAATAGCAGGCTGGCTTTTGCACCCGCCCACTTAGCAGGAGGGGGCCTGAGAGAGAACTTTCTCTCTACCAGTGTATACACAGCTTTAGGGAGATTTGTCCTGAACACCAATGACACCAGCAATGAAAGTGAACATATATTCAAAACAGGAATAGAAGGGAAATACTATATTCCTAAGGGGACACTTGTTTCCATGACAGTTATCCAAGAGTAGATTTTAGCACATTGGAAATCTATCCTCTCACTTTGCTCAAGTACAGGAAGTGAATGGAAATCTACCTAATAAACCTCAAGTGGAATAAAACAAAAAGGGGGGGCAGCAGTGTTTACTTTCCCCAACCCATAGTGAAACAAAGAACTTTAATTTCACATACACTTTAAAATAACTGATAGTGAGAAGAAAAGCATTTAAAATTACACTGTCACCAAGCAATATGGACTTAGCGTTGCAATAGTATGTTTTTAAAACACTGTGCAATGTTTCCTGCTCACAAACATTTCCCTCCACGTACACCGCAGGTGTGGGATAAACATTGAGCAGTCCTAATCACAGAAGGAAGGATTATCACCGTGTACATTATACAGTCAACACCGAGGGTTCGGCATACTACACCATAAACCCTACTGCACACACGTGTCTTCCAAACCCATCCGCATGGGCCGCGCGGAGGTGATGACGTCACTTATGAAGCGCCTCCGCTTGTACTAAAATGCGCGCATATGCCGCCTCTTATTAACCCCCCAAAGCGCGGATCGGTAGAGTGTCTGAATGGTAGAGAGCCGTCTCTACGGAGTTAAAGAGCAACGCATGCAGAGAGGTGTCCTGATCCTGAGAGGGAAGTTGATCGGGTGATACAGAGACATGCTGAGTCTTCTCAAAAAGCTGGGCTCCTTCTTCTGGAGGAGAGCCCAAGACGAGGGAGAGAAAAGACATTTCACTGGTAGGTCTGGGCACCTGCTCCGAGCCATATGTATACAGAGAACAAGCGGCTACTACTAGATAATCTAGAGACACTATCAGTTTCAGATTTATTA